GTCTCACGGATGCCCCTTCCCACGCTGCTTCACAGCCCTCTCCTGCTACAGGCGGACTCATTCCTGCAGCAGAAACAAGAGAGGCAGCTCAGCATCCCCCTCCATGCCCAAAAACAGCCAAGATGGACAAGATCATCGCTCCTGGCTGTAGCCACAGAGAACGAAAAATCCTCACGCTGAGCTCCAAGCATCTGGCAAGGCGGATTGAGCTCCATCTGGAAGCACGTCCCCATCCACCGGACTATCTCCTAGTCAAGGCGTTATAAAAAAATAAATCAGAAGATTAACATAAATATTGTTTGAAAGATTTAATCAGCTACAAATTGCAATGTTATGTTTCCAGCTTAATTAGCCCAAGCCTGCTTTTCTTTGCTCTGTGTTGTGAAGTAGAGAGAAGGCATTTAGAAGCAGCAGTGCCGATCTCAGTTTGTGGTGAAGGAGGAAAACTTCTCCCTGGCTGGGGCCAGCTGGTGCCTCGGACAGCAGGAGCAGGGTGGAGGCAGGGGGGGCTGTTTTTTGCACCCGGCAGGACACGCCTGTACCATGGCACCATGAAACCATACATGTTCCCTCAGACCTACAGAGCTCGAGGAAGGACAAGGAGCAAATCTAGTGTCAATCATAGCTAGAGATGGACAAAATTGTGTAAAAAATATTAAAGCAATTAAATCCATTCTCTGAGGCACCTTCCTGTAACAAGAGTTATTCCTGGGCTGCTCAAATTTATGTCCTGTTTCCTACAGCACTCTGAAGGACAACCAAAAGTCCACAGTAAAGGGTGCTCCAGCTAGACCAGCTGTGAAGAGTTCTCAGCACAGCCACCTTTGCCGTGGAAGAGCTACACAAAATAAAAAAGGGTATGAAAAGCCACAGGCTTTTAGCCACCAGCTGCAGCAGCAAGAAGGACATTGCGGGCACGGGGAAGGACTCAGGAAACACCAGCAGACAAGATCCCAGCGAGAAGCAAGAGTTACCCAGCAACTGCCCGGCATCAGACAGACCTGATCATTCGGCCAAGGCTTCCACACACAACCCTCCGACCGCACTTTCCCGCAGTGGCTTCAGCAGGGGTGGGGAGGGTCAGGCCCTCGGCCGCTTCGCCTCTGGTACCGGCACAGACTAAGGCTGCCTGGGCTGTTGCTGCTCATTTGAACCATTGCTGTATGAGTCTGAACTGGCTCTGCTAATGAGGTTCTAAAGATGCTTTTTCATTTAGAGGGCAAGTGCTAATTAAAATGCAAACCATGTATTTCCTGCTCCAAGTGCCCATGCCAATGTCATTTCAACAAGGGCTGCAAACACAAGAGTCACCCTGATCTGTACTGCCCCTGTGAATTGGCTTATGAAAGTGTTTATACTTCCACCTACAAGCTCTAAAAAGGCATCTCTCTCCACTCCAGCAGAAGCTGTTTGTCTAATCAGCATCTCCTGACTGGTAATGAGTATTTCCACAGCGCATCTCAGCAGACAGCTTGCAGTGTCACGGACATCACCGCTGCTGTGGGTCCCGATGCCGCTTCCCCCCGACCGCTGCACACGCGGTTCCTGGTGCTCAGGCTCTGCCCAAACTCACTCAGCGCAGCAGCAGGGTCCCTGGTTTGGAAAACACCAAGAGCACCTGAATAAGCAGCAAAGCCTGGGCTTGCTCTGTGCTGGTGTGTTCCAGAGGTGCTGACAGTGCCCAAATGCTGACAAAAAGGCCGGTCACTTCAGCTGGTGCCGAGTACATCACCCTGACAGCTACAGTGGCCTGCAGATACGCAGAGGCCAGAAGAAAGAAGCAATTTATCGCTCCTGCGTTTCCAGCCAGGGAACAGGGGCACCAGCCATTTCACCCATGCCTGATGCGCGGCTCATCCTCTCGATGCTGGTGGCACCAATAAAGCTGTCAGGGACACTGAACCCCAGCAGTGTGGAACGAGCCAGAAGCAGAGGCACCACTTGAGATCCCAATGCATTTCCCCAATTTTACGCCCACCAAGGCTGCTGGCAAAGCCACCCTGGGGTGTGGCAGAGACACAAGTCTTGGGGCACCCCAGTGCGGATCACAAAGCTGTCGCCTTCAAGCAAGGCTGTTCTGCCTCAGGGCTTTGCCTCACCTCAGAGACCAACATCCCCCACCCACCTACAGAAAAACAGCCTCTCCTGGCCACAGGGACATCACCTCTGTCTGCACGCTTCGAAGTCCCCAAGGGGAGGGCTGACCTGCTGCAGCAGAGACCCAGCAGCTGGGGAAGCAGCTCCCAGGAGGTCGCTGCCACTCACCCGATGTCCCCACAGCTTCGCCAGCTCCACAAGGCAGGGCAGAGGCACGAGCCAGTACCAGCACAGAGGTCAGGAGCACAGCTGCACCCCCATTATTGATGGCACAAGATTAGCTTGTCTGAACAGGGAAATACATCACTGGAAAAATAGGAAACATTTGGAGAGCGGATGGCGGGTGCGAGAGTGATGAATGAGTGCTGGAGCCTGGCAAAGATCAATGAATAGCTGATGAGCTGCGGACGGCAGCGCGGGAAGCTCACCCACACATACAGAGGGAGCAGAATTAGAAGGGAAATTGCTTGCTGGGGTGAGACGTTACAGGGAACCTCCAAAGAGCCTTTACCCCCACACCACAGGCTTCAGGTGGTCACATGCAGGCAGACAAAAGAAGAGATCCCTCTCGTTTCTCTTGGCCCCTCTCCCGCATGATATCCGATTTGGAAAGATGAGGTAGGAGCAAAGGCTCAGAGAAGGGGCAGTACCTAGAGACCCCTCACGCACACACTTTGCGGAAGACAGTAGCCTGCCCAGTCTGGTGCTTCTGGGCCGGAGCAGAAGCTCCACAGACAGGCAATGTCTGTGAAGACATCATTTTGGGGTCAGCTCTGTGCGTATTACAGTCCATTAGCCACAACTGAACCAGCTGCTCGGGAGCAATAAGGATCCATAACCACGCCAGGGCACTCGGGCACTGGGAACAATCACCCCAACGCAGGCTTTGCAGGGACCAGGCACAGGCAAGAGCTCAGCACCACATCCCACCCCCCCAGCCGCCACCTGCACCACGCTGAGCCCACACCAGCGCAGCACTTGCTTATTAAAGCTTTTAAGCGACCTCACAGAACGCCAGCTCCGCCGGCCCCGCGGCTCGCTGCAGCGGCCGAGCACTATCTAGTGGCGGGAGACACAGCCCACCAGAAAAACATCTAAGCCAGCCAAAAAAAGCCCCGTAACGCTCTGAAAGGCAAACTTCTAGCTGCTGCTACACCTCACTGAGGCTTACCCACACTCCTCCCGCAGACCTCGGCTCCGCCGGGGCCGGC